AGAAGTCCGTATCCTTGGCTCTCACTAACCACGCCGCCGGCGGCTCCACCCGAGGAACGCACCGCCCTGTACTTGGATCCAGCTGCAGGCAAAGCAGTCAGGGCATCCACGAACTCGAAAAGCCGCGCCTTTCCCGAGCCGGCTGTGCCCGTCGTGAACGCCATTCCGGGCACCGGGTTGGGCGCGGGGCTTGGAGTGGGAGACGGGGGAGGTGAGGGCGACGGCTGGGGAGATGGGGATGGGGTCGAGCCCCCGATGACGCTGCAAGTCCAAGGAGTCTGATACTCCGGCGCATCGTTCGGGTCGATGGCGCCCGGCTCGCAGCTCTGTCGGCAATTTGCCCAGTAGTCATTCTTTTCCTTGCTCGCAGGTTCACGGGTTTGTGTATGGGATGCCCGTAGAGCACATCAACTGACCCAGTGAATAGGATGGTAGAGAACAGAAAGAACAGCTTCATCTTTTCTAAGAGCAGTGCATTAACATGCTCAATGACATGGCCTTTGCCTCGGCCTTATGATCAGGAACTGAGCAAGAACGCTCGGAGTAGACCTTGAACAAGACTGCCTGTAACCCTACATGCTCATGGCTGGACAATTCCGCTATAAGCTCGGGTATCTTATAAATGCCTCTAGCCACGAAACCTGCCTCGTGATTACATGACAAGTCATCTGATCGCACCCAAGGCTCGTAACACGTCCAGCCTGAATTCATGCAGCATCCTGTCGCACGACAGTCCTCTGAAGCGTCCGAACAGGTAGCCCGCTGCGCCTTGCAGATTTAAGTTTAGGATTTCTGCATTAGAGCTTCTATATATAGTTGGGACTTCAGTTCATTAGCTACCGTTCCAATCTCACCTTCGTCTGTAATGCATTCGCTCGTCATACCACTCGCTGTATGTAGGGCATGCGCATGCATGCTGTTGAGTTAGGTGCCCTATGGCAAATATCTGATGTACCATCCAGGGTGCATGAAGCTTGTGCGTATACCTGTTGCGATCATGAGATTGTAGAACATGGCATGCTCGGTGCGTATGCGAGCGTGTGAGTGTGCACATATTTATGGCATATTCATTTATATATATATATATATTTTTTATTTGGGTGTGGCGCACACTTGAGTGACGGCTTGTTTGTATGTGTGTCTTGTCGCGCCTGTGCTGACCTGCTTGCCTGCTGACCTGGAGGTGCGGTTCGGACTCTCTTTTGCGTACATGAATGCATTGAAACATCAATCCGAAAACCGTAACACCAAGATCATCAAGCCCCTAGCAAGATGTCCGCAAATTTCAAACTAAGCAGCAGCAGTAGCAGTGACAATAGTAGTAGAAATGATGGTGGCAGTAGTACCAGAGGTAGTAGTAGTAGTAGTAGTAGTAGTAGTAGTAGTAGTGGTAGTACTGGTAGTGGTAGTGGTAGTGGTAGTGGTAGTAGTAGTAGTAGTAGTAGTACTACTACTACTACTACTACTACTACTACTAGTAGTAGTCGTCGTCGT